TACTATCTTATATGAGAAAACTTAAAATTCATATTTGATTAGGTAAAGTTTTTCCTTAATTGGGATGCAAATAGTCTAGTTCTGGCTTTATATAATATTCTTTATATAAATAATGTAGTATTATAAAATCAAAATTACACAGTGAGGCTGTTTTCCTTTTTTATATACCTCTTATTTTCTTTACTGTGAAAGTTATGAGTTGTGCTGTGTCAGCAGATTGTATACCTATGGAAACAATGAATGATCCCTGAAGGACATTATTTTTAATGGGTGGTTTCTATCTAAGATCATATGAGTACAGAACTGAGTTATTTGGAAAATGCTCCCAAGTTTTAATATGTAAGAATAATGCCTTGATTAACTGAAGATATTAAGATTCATTCAACTACTAATGTCCTGTTCAGTAAAATAATGTTGGAAAGAATGGCATTTATCTTGAATAATTTTTGGCAGTTTGGTGTAGTTTTTACTTTGTGTTTACCAAGGAGAAAAAACCAAAATGAGAGCAAGGAGAATCAATTATAAAGAGTGGTTTAGTTTGTCGAGGATGCTTGAAATGGCCAGTTTGTTACAAGCAGGGCCAGGCTGAGAGCTGAAAAATTAAAGTTTGTGAGGTGCTTGGTATGTTTTTGGTATATTGAAAAAATAAGTGCTTTTTCAAGAAAGAAGCCGAAGAATGGTAGGTGTTTCTGGTTTTAACATTATTCCTATGAGTTTGCTAGTCCTCCCAAGAGCTATAAAGTGGACAATAAATCAAACATATTTTAATTTGTCGTGAGATAGCAGATAGAAACAAAATTTTTCCAACTGGTCCTCTGCCAAAGTATTTCTACTAGTCCTATTCACTTCCAAAATTTACACTTACTATTAAAAATTAAGAAAAAATTGAATTATCAAATAAATTCAAGTCTGGAAAACATTTACTGAATGCCACCATAGCCAGGCACTATATCAGCTTCTGGGGTTGCTGGAAATGTAAGTGGTGATCTGGCCTTCAGAGAGGCAAGTGACTCTAGGCAAGGCTTGGTTACCTTATATGCCAGAGGCCAGAGCAGAATAGCCATCTCCAGGTCAGTAAAAACATATGACATATTATGTTATACCAAATATCGAGGCACATCCTACTTCGCTGCTCTCCTTCCAAATCCAATGCCTTTTGACTATCTTTTGAAGGTCTCTATTTGAACATCAGATGCAGGAAACCCTATATCCTTATGTGACAGTATAATATCTGAGTTAATTTTGAAAATATAGTATGTATGATACTTGCTTCAAAGTGTGTTTAAAAAATATAGCCATTAGTGTTGGATTTCATTTCTCAAAGTCAAAATTTGAGAAGACAATTGAATTTTATGTTACAGAAAATTGAAAGACTCATTGCAATATCAGTATCAGATGCCATATAAAATGCTTTTTTAAAAAAAAATTTGGGGGGGCACCTGGGTGGCTCAGTCGTTAAAGTGTCTGCCTTTAGCTCAGGTCATGACCCCAGGGTCCTGGGACCGAACCCTGCATCAGGCTCCCTGCTGGGCGGGGAGCCTGCTTCTCCCTCTCCCACTCCCCCTGCTGTGTTCCCTCTCTCGCTGTGTCTCTCTCTGTCAAATAAATAAAATATTTAAAAAAATAAAAAATAAAAATAAAATTAAAAAATAAAAAACATTTTTGGGGGTAGTATGACCAGGTGAGAATTTTTCTCAGTAGATAACAATGATACAGGCATCCATATTTCCCAAGTGAAATGTTCCTAATTGGAAAGCTACTGAAGAGCTTATAAAAAACTCATCCCTTTTCTTTTTTTTCTTTTGTAAATTTGAATGTAAATAATGACTCAAATCCATAGTTTTACAAGTGTCTATATTGTTTTGACATTGTTACTTGATCACTCCAGTTGTTTCAATTGGCTCAAGTCCCTTGCTTTAATTAAAAAAAAAAATTACTATTTGTCTTAAAGAGCTTGCTAGGTACAATAATAATAGGCTTCCATGGGCTGTAGATAAAAGAACTGGATTAACTTTGAAGTGCCAAAAAGCAAAAAATACCTCTCCATTTTCACAGGTTATGATATGAGAGTTTAACATCACAATCTTCAATTGAAAATTAAAAAACACTTCACTGATAGAACACCCCCAATATGAGAAAATCTGAAGTGTTCTACTATCATATGTTACGTTACTTTAAAAATAAAAGCATGATCAGTTAAGAAAACACCATAACTAATGTTTATAGTATTCAGATATTTATTAGTATCATCAAATGAAAAGCCTGTTCACTTTAGTTCTAAAGGAACAACACATGAACAGTTTTACTAAACATTTCCTATCATAAGAAAACTTAGTTGGTAATTTTTCCCCTTTAAAAAAAAACTTTGATACCAAAAAAGTTTTAAAAAGTGAACTCTCTTGCCTGAATGGGGTCTTTCTAAGTGGCAAATCATAGTTATATAGAAAATATTACAAAAATTATTAATTCAGATAATCTTAGGGGAGCATTTCCAAGTTTAGAGCCCTGCCTAATAGCCAACGGTTTCTGTTAGTTTTAATATGTTCACATGTGAATTAATACATTTTGGTATATCACTTTTATAGTTATAAATCAGATTTATGCCCAGCTGTGAGGCCCTGGAATCTGGGTCTTGAAGAAAAACAGATAGTGGAGGTGTTGCTGCCAGTGAAGTGTGGGTTTCCTCTGAGTTGGTAGGCCGCTTTTCTGTGGAGCTGGATGTTAACATACTTTCATTTGTCTCTACTCTAATGACTGAATTAAAATACCCCTCTATTTCCCAAGTCATTATAATGTGGAGATTGTATACTGTTTACACATCGTGGGCTGTGAAACAGCAACCCAAACACATGACCAACTTAGTAGGTTTTAAACGTTGGAGCAAATAGGGTGGTTGGTGTTGAATTCATTTGCACTCATTTTTACTACTTGAGACACACTCATTAAAAAGCTGAATTTCAACTTTGTTATACGCTCACATTGAATTGAACTGGATTTTCACTGCACTTCTGCGTCTGGCTTTTTAATTTGCCTTGAACAGGAGTATTCTTTCCTATCATGGACAATTCAGGCAGGCACTATCAGGTAAAGAAAGTCAAGTCATTGGCTTGGCCTCTTTCTTCTCAATGTCTCCAAGGAAAATGGGGTCATTTTCCACCACACCCCGGTACTTACAGGTTGGGATTGCAGATGAAGATAGGAAGTGCAGAACCCCCACCCCGGGTGGGGGCTGTATTACGCTAACTTTCTTAAGGGCAGCTACTATTTGCAATCAGCTCTGTACTTAAACCCTTTAAAGTTACCAACAAACTTTGGGAAAGTTACATCACCATAAACAAAGACACAGTTGCTTAAATTATTATTATGCAACACTGTGTCATTACTCCCGCGTGGACATTGCAATTATCTTCCCAATTGGGCAAATACCACTACAGCTTTGTAGGCAGCTTCAAAAGTAAAAATCAAGGACAAATATGTCAGTGACACCTTTACACATGGAAAAGGTTTCCCACCCCCTCGACAAACACTCAGGTTTTATCCTGCAAACAAACTGAGAGTCTTTAGCGTCTCCTAATTCTTCGGAATCCCCTATTTTAAATATAAATTGTCAGTCTGGTATGATCCATATGCTTGGCTATAGAGGCTATAGAGAAGAGAAATACAATAGTAAATAGGAAAAAGTGAAATTCTGGGTCTGCTTTTGTAAAACTCGCAGGCATCAGTACACATCTGGTAATCAATTTGGTAATTAGCTGTAGCCCTAAAAAAAAAAAAAAAAAGGTGTCTGTAACCACTGGGTTGTGTCTGCCCCAGGTGATCGTAACAGATCTGGTAACGAGATTGTCCCCATTCGCTCCCCACGCTGCTGTTCAGCCGCCGCATCGCTTGGTGTCTAAGCAGAAGAAAAATCAAATATATTCTGGATACATTTTTTTTTTTAATTTGAATCCAGATAAAAAGGATCAGGTTGTAAAAAGAAAAAAAAAATGGTAACTAGTTGTCCAAGAAAAAAGCGAGAATGAGGACAAATGACCCGCACAAGAGCCTATGACCATTTTTCTCCCTTGCTGTCGCAGAGCTGACAGGAGGAGGATGGGGGCGAGGGAGGGAGGGATGGGGGGTGGGGAGGGGAAGACAATTTAAAGCATCATCTCCCTAATTGCAAAGATCTGGCCTCCCCAGTGCTGAGGAAGCCGTGGTAGCCATTTTCTTTTTTTTTTTTTAAGAGCGTAAAAGGAAAATAAAACAGAATAGGTATATCTCCCTTCCTGCACCAACAGCTCGGCTCCTCCCTCCAAAGAAAAAAGTATTTAAAAAATCTCAGGTACAAAACCCAATCCACATGCATCCAGTGAGGCTTCTGCAGTCAACTCGATTCGATTTGGCGAGTTGCACTGAAGGAGACGTGATCTTGAAAAATCAATCCGTGCTCGCGCCCCCGCGCCGCCGCCGCAGCCGCCGCAGTGGCCACAAAATTAGCGGCTCCGAGGACATTTTTGCCGCAGTGCACGTCCGCCGTAACCACCGAGCACTCGGGTGAATAATGGAAGTACAGTGTGGAGACAATCAAGTTGATTTATCACGCAAAATAATTCACTGCTCCAGTCCAGCTCTTGGTCCTGTCACTTTAAATCACAAACGCGCGTATACACAGATCCATAGGCCCCACACATGCATGGTACACGTGTGTGCGCACGTGTGTGTGTGCGCGCGCGCGCGCGCAGAGCCAAGTGGAACGATTCCAGATTGCTTCACGTATATGAGAGGGGGAAAAGAGCAAAAGGGCCCGTCACCCCAGCCCCCAACCCCCACCTTTTGCAGCGTGGACGAGTGGCTTGTGATGCAGCTTGGAGCAGAATAAAGTCTGAACAAAACTAGACTGTGAGACTAGCACGTCCCAGAGTGAAAGTGAGTGACGTTACCGCAGACTCTGTAAAGACTCGGAGCACTTGCAGGCAAAACTAAAATTCCCTTTTTTTATAAAAGAAAGAAAAGAAAATCATTAACTGGGTTCAGATCTAAAATGCTGCTTTTAAAATGCACGCACATGTTGAAGACTCAGCGACTGTAATTTCTTGGGTAAACATCTGGTGAAGACATTCCAGGAACACATCTGAAAGGAAGAAAGGCGTAAGACAGCCCCTTCTTTATATATCTTGGGTCAAAAAAGGGTTGTTAAAACTTTTTTTTTTTTTTTTTTTTTAAGCGTGCTCTTGATCTAAATACCTTTATGAGCTCTAGGGGTCAGTTTGGTTTGGGAGAAGAGGACCAAGCTGGGAACTAGGAGTCCTGGGTCCCAGACACAATGGTGTGTGAGGTTGGGCAAGTCTCTTTTCCTATGGCCTTCTTTTCTCTCCTGTAAAATCGCAGGTGGTAAATCATATGCTAAGTTTTGTGTTTTGTGTCCCCCCCCCCCCCCCCGCCCCGACACTCCATGATTCTATCTAGGAAGGAATGATGATGGGGTGGGGGGCCTATTAATGTAGAGAGAAAAAGAGGTCACATTCTTCAGGTGGCATCTGTTAAAATTGGTGGTGATGAAAGTGATGAGTCTAGTATGCCTGAGTCCTTAACAATAAAGATTGTGTCTATATTAAGAGCTGCTCTTGTCCCAGCTCTGAAGTATATATAGCATATAATGAATGCTCTTTGAGAATGACAATGTAATCTTGTAATTATATATTTTGGGGGGAGAGGGGAGAGGAAAGGGTCAGCCAAAAGGATTTTGAGATTGGAACAATTTTCAATATTCTTGTTTATTTGTAGTCTGTATAGGAAATGTATTAAATCACGTGGATAATTCAGAGAACATAACTTTTTAGGGGGTAAGAGTTCTTCTGTGTCAGATTGGCTGTCTAGATTGACTGGATTAATAGGATTAATTACTCCCTATCTACTTTTTCAGAAAACAATTCCAAGTAGGGACAGGCAGGGGCCACTGTTTGACACCCCCCTTTAGCTCTGTAGTGAGTGGTCAAGAGTGTGGGTGCTAAAGCCAAGCCACTAGCTTGTTTTGACATGCACTAGCTGAGTAATCATAGACAAATTATTTGCTTTAGTTGTGCCTCAATTTCTCACATTTATAAAAATAGGGATTATACTGGCAACTAATTCATAGGGCTGTTGTCAGGATTAAATGAGTGATCATATTAAAGTGCTTGGAACAGAGCATGGCACATGTAACAGCTCAACAAATGTTAGAGGTTATTATTACTCCAATGTAAACATAGGGAAAGCAAGGTCAGATGTAATAGAGGAATCTTTGAGCTGCTCCTGGATTTCAACTAAGGCCTCTAAGCACTTTATTTTATCTGGCTTTTATGTCAGCTTAAAGCAAGGAGCTCAGCAGTCTTTATTATTATTAAGAATAGGCCAGAACATTCCCTACCAGAACTCCATTCCCATACATACAGTAGTTGTGAAACTGGAGAATTTCCCACTTGACCAGAACAATGCAAATACGTAATATTGGCTCTATATATTGAGTGCGTACTTACTGATGTGTGTTTTGACTATGAAGGTGGGAGGAAGCCAAGTTTTGTTTTTGTTTTTGTTTTTGTTTTTCCTTTTCTTTCCCCCTTTGGAGAGAAGTTTCCAATGCTTCAGTTCCTGACTGTTTCTGTTGTGATACTCTTTCGTACACAACTTGTTACCTTAGGTCTAGCCTCTGTCATTGAATTATCAAGTCAAAACAACCCCAAATCTCTGGCGTGCTCCCTTTGTGTCATTATTAGTGTAAAGGGGAAAAGCGACATCCTGAATTTCTCTCCTCTCTTAATGATCCCCAGAGTGCAGACTTGAACGAGGCTTTAGGAAGGGTCATAGGCACGGAATGCTTAAGGGAGCAATTCCACTCAGTGTTTGCAATTTGGGATTGGAGGCGAGCTGCAGTTAAGCTTTATAGAGGAAGTGGAGATTAGGTGTCTTTCCAGAACAAGGTAGGTGCTGGCAGGCTTAGTTCCCTGCTTGTTGGAAAGTAATGTCCCACTTCTTTCCTCCAGTGGCACCTGAAGGCCAGGTGCACTAACGGTTCTACCAGGGGTCAGGTGGAGAGACAAGGCTGGCCGGCCTGGGACGCCGGGAGTGGCGTCCGATACCAAGTTTAGAAGGCTGCAGGCGCCGGGGTTAAGTTCAACTTGAGACAGAAAGCGTCTTACTGAGAACGGCGAGAGAAAAGTTGATTCGTTCCAAGCGCTAGCATGAGTGCTCGAGATACACTTGGTCAATTTGATTAACACAATATCCTAAATAAATACATCAATAAAAGAGGGTGCGCTGCCTTCTATTCCACCTGCTTGCCTTCTTCCTTCTCTTTGTGGGGGCAGAATGAGATTTTGGCAAGTGAAGGCTCCCACCCCCTCCATCGTTATCACAAGCGCACATCCCTTCTTCTACAGAGTCTCTGTAAGGTGCTGGAGCGGAAACCCAAGGTACCTATACTTTCAAAAATTTCGGGAGCCAAAGGTGAGAAATCTGGCGAGTTTCCTTCCTCCCCGCCTGCAGCAACTTAGCATCCAGAAGCCGTGGGCGCCTGGCCTCGCAGAGCTTTCCGAGACGTCCGGCGTCCGGGGGACTTCACTGATCACAGTCAGTCCCTAGTGGACCGCGGACTTTGCCAGTTTTAGAGGTACTGGGGAAACTGAGAGTAAATAAATCAAATTGTACCCTCCATCACCGCCAACCAGGACTACGGGGATCCCCCACTCCAGGCCTGGAGAGGGATTGGGGCGAGGGCAGGTGGAGGGACCAAGCGGGAGGCGAGGAACTGCCCCGCAAGGTCGTGACCGTGAGGCCGCTGGGGGAGGCCGCCGCGGTGCGCAGGGGCCGGGCGCCGCCCTCTGGCCCGGGAGCTGACCCCGCGGCGTGCCCCCTTCTCGGCAGCCCGTCTGGCGCATCCCTAGGGCAAGGAGGGGGCGACGCGGCAGAAGGGACCCTTACTTTCGTGGTGGAAGCTGAAACCCGCGGGGCTCCCGGGCGAGTTGTCCTGGAGGAAAGATCAGATGCCCAGCACAACTGAACTTTAGAAGGGGCTCTCTGCACTGGTCCCGTTCCCTAGTGGCGACCTGTGAGAAACTTTTGTCCCCTCCCCTCAGTGTCTAGTGTCTTCTTGCTCTGGGAACTTGGCCCTGACGGCCTAGTTCTCCACATTAATTCGTGGTTCCACTAACTCAGCAGCTCCTTCTCCCAGACGGACGTCTAGGGTGTCTTGTAATGAAGGGAACACGTTCAATGTTTTGTTTTGTTTTGTTTTGTTTTTCCTTTCAGGGGGAGTATTGTGTGATTTTAAAATCTCCTAGGCGTTAAAAAACTAAGCCAGACCAAACAACAAAACCAAAAACAAAAACCGCTGCTTTCACTCGAGGGTAGAGTGGAGTCAATCCAAACCTTCCTTGGGCCAGTCTGAGCCCTTAGTCAGATAGTCGAGTTCCTGAATCTTCCAGGAAAACAGAGCCCCTTTCACACACTTCTGAAGGGGACTTAATAAGACTGCAATATATTACCACGTTTAAAAGGTTTTGCAGAGGCAAAGTTTCCTAAAAGCGACTTGCCAGCGATGCATGGAAAAGCAAATCCGCTTACAGAGAGGAGCCCCTGAAGAGGAAGGGGGGAAAGGCAGGACCCAGCCCCAATTAGAAACCGCAGTTTCCAACTTTTGAACCACAGCCCCGATCACTGCGGGGCTGTGGGGCTGGTGGAATGTAGGTGACTGCCTCTGGCACAGACAGGTTGTAGACCTCCAAGGCTCTTGGCACTGCTTTCTGGAAGTCCCCAGACTTTCTTTTCCGGTAGCCTTTCCCCTCAACAGCCAAAGTTAGGTTTCCCCTTTTGTGTTTTGTGGGTGTGTGTCTGGACCCTGTTTTGTGCTCGTGGGAAAAGCCTCGCTCCTTACACACTTGAAGTGCCTCAGTTCTCATTCTTTAGCTGGCAGCCTGTGGATGCCGGGTGGGAATGTGGGCGCCCATACAGGTGAAGTGGTGTGTTTGTGCTGCTTTGTTGTCTGAACCCTCACTCACCCCACTGCTAAGGAATGGGTCTGACACAGCTCTCCTCTCCAGAAACTTTTGTTGGAGTTTCTAAGAGAAATCCCCACCTTAATTATTTTGAGCTGAAGGTTTGTGTGTGTGTGTGTGTGTGTTTTGTATAATGAACTCAAGGGAAAAACTGCAGTTTGTTAGTTTTGTGATTTCTCAGAGCTTATAAAGGTCTTGGACCCCATAACTCTGGGGGGGAAATCACTGAGTCTTTTGCTGGGAAAGTAGAGCCTTCCAGATTCATGAGGGTAAGGATAAGGACTGCTTTCCATAAACTTCAAAAACAGCTAAAAACAGTGCATCAGGACTCAACTACGAGCCTTTGGGAACACACATGAATCCCCCAAGTATCTCTGGTCCTCTGGCAGTCACCAGGCTATTTTGTAGTAGCTTTTCAAAACTATCTCTTTGAATGGCCATTCTAACTTTTACAAAGTTTCTTGCTGTTTACCATGATAAAGTTGCACTTGCACTCCGTGCAACACAAGCTTGCCTTTGAGCCCTTGACATGCTTTCAACCCTGTACTGGGAGTGTTTTAAAGGCTACATTTTAGCCTTAAGGGATAAAAATGTTGCTTTCATCCTGTCTATGGAGAGTGCTGGGGGCAAAGTGGCCAAGTTTGTAGGAAACCGGATCTCTTAGCTTTGCTAACATCAGGAGGATAGTTTCGACATGCCGGTCCTTGCCTGCTAAAATGCCAGGGCAGGGTACTCAGGACACACTGCAGACGGGTCTTCTGTTTCCCTCGACCAGCAGGTCCCCCCTCCAGCGCCCGGGATGCTGGGCGTTCGGGATGTTGCGCACACCTGCAGATTTTAAAGCCGCTCACGGAGAGCAGGAGGAGCCCCTTTCCTGTTATGGCTACTTAATGAAGCAAAGTGCTAGACCTTCACAAAAGGGAAAACATTTTGTTTACGTCTGTCCTTTCTTAAGAAGCGCTTAGGGACCAGGCCCACCAATATTCCGGATAAAGTTAATGCTACTAGAAATGTGCGGTGCATTAGGACTCCGACTGGGGACTCATTGAACACCAGACTGTTACAGTTAATCTCGCCTCTCTCTTTTTGTTTCCATTGCTCTATTTTTCCTTTGGTCTC